CAAACGTGGCTTTAGGTCCTTGGGGACTGGCAGGCCTGGCCGCGGCCCTTCCGGAAGGGTCTTGGGCGTCTGGGGAGCCGGTGGAGGGGCCCAGCGCACTCGTCCGGGTGGCCCACGTGTCCCGCCTGTGTGGGAGCGGCTCCGTGGCCAGGCGCGGCGCCGGTGACTGGCCCTTCCCAGGCGCTACCTAGTGGGCGCTGCTGTCCGGCCGAGGGGCTCCCTGGGGATGCGGCCAGCCGGCTAGCGGGCACAGGGGTGCTGGGGCAGGGGCCGGGGCAGGGCCGCGGCCTCTGGGGCCACTGGCTCCTCCTGCCCGGGAGCGGCCGGCAGAGCCCCGGACCTAAGCAGTGGGGGAGCAGCAGGGCAGCGGCTCCGCTGGGGCGGCGCTTTCGGGGACGTTTGCTGAGCCCCCCTGGAAGGGGGTGCAGGGGTGCCAGAAGGGGCGGCGCTGCCCTCTCAGGCCGCCGTGCCCGGTCATCTCCATGCCGAAGGGCCCGGCAGTCACTGCTTGGCGGGCGTCTGGCCGCTGTCTGTGTCCCTGTGGACGCGCGCGGAGAGAGGCGCTGGACCCGGCCAGCACTCGGGAGCGGACATGGAGCACCAGGAGCACCCCGGGTGCAGCCCCAAGTTGCTGACCTGCACAGCTGCATGCAGCCAGGGGCCCGGGACAGGCCTCGGCCTCCTCACCGGCCGGGCGCTGCATGGACGCGCTGAGCTGGCGGGAGCCCGGCCGTCCAGCCCTGGAAACACAGGGCAGCGCCGTGCCCGCGAGTGACGCTCTCCTCAGGCAGAGGGAGCTGCACTGCGGGGCTGGGGTCTCTGGGAAGCTTCGAGGGGCTCAGCGTCCGGCTGGGTGCCCACCGCCAGGCCTCGCTGGCTGAGCGCTCACCAGCTTGGGCAGGACGCTGCACTGGGTCCGCGGCTGCTGGGCAGTGGTCGGGGTCCCGGTGCTCGGAGCGTGTGGTCGGGTCAGCGTGGCCTCCGGCTTCCTCCTGGCCCCAGGGACCGCCGGGTGGGCACTGTCCACGGCCCAGTGGGTGCTGTTGGGGCTTCTCCTTTCCGGGTCTCCGAGCGCCGAGACGCACCCGCTGCCCTGGCCAGAAGCCTGAGCACACGTGTGTGAGTGGACTCTGGGCCCCTGGGCCTCCCTCCCTGGGGACAGCACCAGCCCAGGTGTCCAGGGCCCCTGCGCCAGGGCTCCGCCCCGGGTGGGCGCTGCTCTGGGCAGGCTGGATGGCCACGCCCACTGCGATGGGGACAGCGGGCCCGGGCAGCAAGGCCCCTGCCTGGCCCGTCAGCGGTCAGAGGCCCTCGGGAGTGTCTCCCTCTTCGGAACAGCCGCCCGTGCGGGCGACAGGGCAGGAACCGGGCTGGCCCAGCCCCGCGGACACCCGAGGGTGGACGCAGCAGCAGCCACCGGGCAAAGGGCTGAGCCCGAGACCCCTCAGGGGGCCAACCCCAGCCCTTTCCCGGAGCGGGGTCCCTCCCCCGGCTGTGTGGGGTCAACCCACCCATGCCGATGGAATGGGGTCTCCCCCCAACTAGCAGGAGCGCAGAGGGCCCGGACCCCTCCCTGAACCCCACACCCTCCCACCACATGAACCCACCAGGAGTCGGGGTGCCCCCTGCAGCGCCGCACTGGGAGCCCTGTGGCCGGCGCCTCGGTGGTGGGAAGCCGCTGCCCCTGCCCACGGGCCCTGACCGTCTCTGCCCGCCCAGGAGGACTGTGCCCCGGCGCCGCCGGCCCCTGCGCGGAGAAGCCGTGCCCGGAGGACATGCAGTGCGTCGCCGACGAGGCCGGCCGCAGGCCCTTCCAGTGCCAGTGCCCCCCGGGGAGGCTCGGCGAGTGCTCAGGTGCGCGGGGTCCACGTGCATCCCCCCCACGGGCCCAGCCAGAGCCCCAGGCGGAGTGACCCGGTGGCCGCGTCGTGCCGAGCGGAGGCCCCCGGCTGAGCCCACACCAAGGCTCCGCGGGGCACCGGCCTCCATCCCTGGCGCAGGGGCCCTGGAAGCCCGGGCTGGCTGCTGCCCCCAGAGAGTGGACATCTGCTCCGGGGCCCTGACCCTGACCACCCTTCGGTCTCAGAACCTCCTGGCCGCCCCAGCGAGGGCGCCGGGCAGGCCCACGGGCTGGGCCTGTGGCCAGCGAGGAGGGGTCAGCCACGCCTGGGCGCCGGCTCCGCGAGCCACGGCGAGGAGCTCACGGCTGTGCTGCTGGAGGGGAAGCGGCTGCCGGGAAGGACAGGGCCTGGCGCTCGGTGCTGGCCACAGCGCCCCTCCCCCGAAGCTGCGGCCACCCTCGGCCCCCACGCGCCCTCTCGGCTCCCGGGGAACCGCGAGTACCAAGCCCGCTTGTCCCCTCCCGCGGCCCCAGGACACACGACGCTCAGCTTCGCGGGGAACAGCTACATCCAGTACCGGCTGG